TTAATGTGCCCTCTACCTGAAACACTTCCCCAGATAGGAGTTCAGCTTATCCTTTACCCCTCCCCTTAAAGCTCCGGCTCCGATGTCCCCTTCTCAGCCAGGCCTTTCCTAACTACCCTATTTTAAACTACAACAATCCTACCCCAATCCCTAGGCACTTCTTATATACCTCTGTGCTTTTATTTTTCTTCATGGCACTTCATTTGTTACACCTACATTTAGCAATGTTGTTTCTTGTTTCCTTCCAGTGGAACACATGCTGTGTATTGAAAGCAAAGATTATTTGCCTCTGCTCCACTAATGACCCAGGGCAAAGAATGATGTCTGGTACTTAGTAGATGCTTAAAATACACTTGCTGAATGTACTGAGTGATTTTTTGAATAATGGGTACTTTTACCACAACTGGCATTGATTCATGACACAGGTTCACTATGGGAGACACTAACAAAATCTAAAGGAATGTGCCAGAAAAAAGAGTGAGTCCGGCTGGTGTGGCCCAGTGGTCGAGCATCGACCCATGCACCAAGGGGTCGCCATTTCGATTCCCGGTCAGGACACATGCCCAGGTTGTGGGCCAAATCCCCAGTGGGAGTGATGCAGGGGGCGGCCAGTGGATGTTTGTCATCAATGTTTCTATCTCTTCCTCCCTAAAAAAATCAAATTTTTAAAAAAATGGGTGAATTAAAGATAAAGTGAGATTAAAAGCAAAGAAAAAGTGGAAGAAAGGTGTTTTCTCCCAGCCAACAGCTCTGGTCGTGTGTTTTAGAAAAGGGTTCAGTTATTAGAAGCTCAAATGAGCTTTGCCAGAGAAGGAAACAGCAGATGAAGAGGAAACAAAGCATATTCCATTGTTACAGAGAGATGAAACAAAAGGAAGTTCCTCAAGGTCTGAAATATTCAGAAGTCAAGTAAAACAGAATCATGCATGAATTAATAATTTTTTAAACTGCAATGGGTTAATATAATAAGAATTCATTATACTAAAAAAAAATCAATACTATCCAAAGTAATGTGCAGATTCAGTGCAATCCCTATCAAAATCCCAATGACATTTTTTACACAAATAGAAAAACGCCCTCGGCTGGTGTGGCTCAGTGGTTTAGTGTCAACCCATGCACCAAGAGGTCGCTGGTTTGATTCCCATTGGGGGCATGCAGGAGGCAGCCAACCAATGTTTTCTTTCATCGATGTTTCTACCTCTTTCTCTCTCTAAAAATAAATTTTTAAAGAAAAACCCATCCTAACGTTCATGGAATCTCAAGGGAACCTGAATACCCAAAAATATCTTCAAAAAACAAAACAAGGATTCACACTTCCTGATCTCAAAACTTACTGCAAAGCAACAGTAATCAAAACTAGCAGTGGGATAAAGACAGACATTTAGATCAATGCAGTAGAATAGAGAGCCCAGAAATAAACCCTCACACATATAGTTCACTTGGTTGACAACTGAACCAAGACCATTCAATGGGGAAAGGTCAGTCTTCAATAAATGATGCTGGGAAAATTGGATGCCCACATGCAGAAGAATAAGGTGGGGCCCCTGGCTAACACTACGTGAAAAATAAAGTGGATCAAAAACCTCAATATAAGACCTAAAACAAAACTCGTAGAAAACAGAATGAAACCTTCATAACATTGGGTTTAGCAGTGATTTCTTGGATATGTCACTAAAGACAAATTGGACTTCATGAAAATTTTAAGTTTTGTGCTCTGATCAATAAGCACTCAACAGAATATCCGAGAAAGGGATATTCAAATCCCATGTCTGATAAGGGATTAAAAAAGAACACCTAAAACTCAACAATAAAGAAAAACCAGCCAATTCAAAAGTGGGCAAAACATTTGAATAGACTTCTCCAAAGAAGAGCTACAAGTGGCTGGTAAATACATGAAAAGATGCTTGACATCACTAAACACTAGGGAAATACAAATGAGGCACCACATCACACCCATGAGGATGGTTACTGTAAAAAAAAGCGTTGGCCAGAATGTAAAGAAATTGGAACCCTTGTGTACTGTTAGGAATGTAAAATGGTACAGCTGTTGTTGAAAACAGTATGGTAGTTCATTAGAAAATTAACAAATAACAAATAGAATTACCAAATGACCCAATAATTGCACTTCTGGGTATGTACCCAACAGAATTTAAAGCAGGGTCTCAGATATTGTACACCCATACTCGTAGCATTAGTCACAATAGCTAAAGTATGGAAGCAACCAAAGTGTCCACTGATGGATGAATGGATAAGCAAAATGTGTGTGTGTGTGTGTGTGTGTATAATTGAATATTATCCAGCCTTAAAAAGGAAGGAATTTGTGACATTCTACAATATGGATGAACCTTAAGGACATTATACTGAGTGAAATAAGTCAGTCACATAAAAGACAAATACTGTATGATTCCACTTATATGTACTTATATGTACTTATATGTACTTAGTCAAAATCAGAGTGACAGTAGTAGAATGGTGGTTGCAAGGCCTGGGAGGAGGGGAAAATGGAGAGTTATTGTTTAATGGGTATGGAGTTTCAGTGTTACAAAAGGAGTCTACGGCCATACCACCCTGAACGCGCCCCATCTCGTCTGACAAAAGGAAAAGTGCTGAAGATGGATAGTGGTGATGGTTGCATGAACATGCGAATGTATTTAATACCACTGAACTGTATGTTTAAAAATGATTACGGTAGTAAATTTTATTCATATTTTACAGTAGAAACAAATTGAAAAAAAATCATTGATCAAGCAAAAAAGCTGGAAACTGACTCATAATGGAGAAAAATCAAGAGAAACAAACAAAAAAAAGACAAATTATGGCATTATCAGAGACTAAAAGCAGCTTTTATAAATTTTCCATATATGCTCAAGGGTGTAAAAGAAAATATGAACATCAGAAGAGAAATGGAAGATAAAAGAAACCCAAATTAAATGTCTAGAAATGAAATTTTTTTTTTCTTTTAGAAAAGTACTCTGGATTAGATTAATATTTGATTACACATTGCTGAAGAAATGGACACCAAACTTAAAGACATGCAATTCTTATACCTTCATTTATTTGTATTTCCTTTCTTGAGAGCTTGTTTGGAGGTTCTAGCAGGGGAGCGCAGCTACTCGTATACCCTTGACCGAAGACCAGTCCTCTCCTCTGGGGGGAAGGTCGTCCTCTTCGGGAGGGACGAACATGGATCGGTTGAGGGAGGAGGGGGACACCCGCCTAGCCAGCCAGATCAGCCTAATCAACCCTGGCGATCAATGGGGTGACAGATGTCACAGCCAGATCGCCCTCACATCCTGTATTTCCTTTCTTGCTAGCTAGAAGCAAGAGTACAATGGAGAATAGAAATGATCACAGTGGGTGTGGTGGCCAGTCTCCCAGGTAGCACCTAATAATTCCTATCTTGTATTCACAGCTCTTGTGTAGTCCGTCTACAATATGGTGATAACATATTGTCTCTAGTGCAGAGCACAAGTGACAATATGTGACTTCCAAGATTAGATTATAAAACATTGTGGTTTCTGTCTTGGACACTCTGGCTTTCCCTCCCTCCTGAATCATTTGCTCTAACAGGCATGAGAAGCTCTATGGAGGGGCCTTTGGCCATTAGTTAGGAAAGAACTGAGGGCTGTCAGCATCCACATACCAGAGCTTGGAAGCAGATTCCCCACTGTCAGTTGAGCCTTGAGAAGACTGCAGCCCTAACCAACAGCTTGACTCAACCATGTGAGAGATCCTGAGCCTGAACCATTCAGCTAAGCTCTCCCAAATTTCTGACCCTCTGAAACTATGTGAAGTGATAATGTTTGCTGTTTTAGGGTAGCAGTAGATAACATACAGTGGGCTACCAACTCTGGCTTCTGCTCAAAATCCAGCCAATATTTGTAAGGTTCAAACCAAGAGCAGCTTGAAGGAGATAGACAGGAGTAGAGGATTTTGCAGATGCTCACAATGAGACCTGCGAACAAGAAAGGCTTGGTAAGAAGGGCTCAGACCTCAGAAATGGGTTCTAGACGGCCCACGCTGCATACCTTAACTTTATGGTGATGGTGGTTGTAGGGCAGGGAGTCAGAGGAGGCTGAAGGATAAAGAAAGTTGCGGCAGCTTAAGCCTCAGGAAGTAGGGGTTTAGGTAGCAGGTGGCTGAGACTTCACCACACCTGTTATTTCCAGTCTAGGTCTCTCCTAACAGTCACGTAGTGGAGAATGAAGGTGCTATTTGAAGCGCCCAACTCTCAGATGGTAAGTGTTGATGGGGTAAGGTGGCGGTGGGGTATGGCTGTGGTTACTGTTGGGCGCTGTGCCTTCCAACCTACCACTGCAAAGCTGGTGAACCCAAGCAGCAAACAAACGCCAGGGGCATACACCTGAACTATCACTCACTGGGTGGGCCAGGCCCCACCCAACTCTGGGCTTTTATTGGTCAGATCCAGAAAAACGCGCACTTAGCAGCCTCCTTCGGATTGGTCGATTTCTACTAGCTGTCAAATCAATTAAAGGAGAATGTACCGCACTCCTTTCCCTTCTCTGGCTCCGTGGGCGGGGATGGGTTGGAGCCATGTTAGGTAGCCTGATGCAAACCTTGTCACTGTTCTCAGATCGCCACACAATAACATTACCTGCTTTTCTCTGCCACCGTCGTCTCCTTCTGACATCATTTCAATGAATGCGCTGTTTTCTTTTTCCCACAAAACGAGTTGTTTCATAAGTATAAGGTGAAAAGTCCGAGATTAGGTGGTGAGGCGCGAAACCGGAGAAGCGGTGCCTTGTTCCGCCCGCCAACCCTCTTAACCAGCAGAAACTCAGTACTGATGCCCACTGTACAGGAAGCACCCGCCTTGGGTTTTCCGCAGCGTGCGAGGATGAGTGACTTTTGTCCCCTCGCAGCCCCTGTAGCGTCCCTAGTTACCGAGCCCCTAGTAACCGCCCGCCCCAAGCAGGGAGACGCTGAGTAGCTTGAGGCCGCACCAGCTTCCCGGCCCCGGGCCAGCGCGGGCGCTCAGGCCTCGGCGGCGCGGTGATGGCCGCCTCGCACCGAGCGGCGAAGCTGGCGGCCTCCAGTCTCCACACCCCGGCAAATCCCAACACCCGGGCGCGGGGCGCCCTGTACGAACGCCAGGACCCCTTAGACGAACTGGCTGCGGCGGCGGCGGCCTTGGAGGAGGAGGAAGAGGAGGAGGAAGAGGAAGAGGAGCTGAAGGCGGTGCGGCGGTCGCCGGCGCAGGTAATGTAGGGGCGGGACGTGGGCTGGGGCTGGGGCTGGGGCTGGGCTCTGGCTGGGTGCAGGCTGAGGGCTGGTCGGCGTCCCCGCTGGGCTGAGCGGCGGGCTGGCAAACGCGGCGCCCTGTCCAGATTCTCCCTATCCGATACTCCTGGCCCACCACCTTCTTTTTGCCCCCTTGGACAACATTCAAAACCTAGGCGTTGAAAAGGCTTTTAATGTTCACCCAAGAGATTGTTGTAAATATTCTCTAGACTAGAGTGCAAAGTACAGAACCTTACTCTTTATGCTCCATCATCTGTCAGAAGTAGATATTCCCTTTTCTTTTTAACTCGCGGAAGACTGATCTACCTACCCCACAGAGGATAACGGGTAAAATTAAAGGGAAATCAACTGTGCTGTCAGAGGTGTGTTTTGTTGTCACCTTAAGGTCTTGGTTATTAGTGCATCTTAACAGATGTGATGTTTAAAACCATCAAGAGTTCAGTGGATAGATCAGACATATAGTTAAGAACTAGAGAAGCAAATTACTGAGGATCCATTATTTTCTAAAGGGCTCTTCAGGGTGGTGTGAGAATCTTTTCACTGATCACTTTTCAGTGCCATGTGTGTCGTGAACACCTGCCTACCAGTTAGAGGGCTGAGTCTGTCATCTGCGCTATTCCCTTAAAAAACAGAAACCTTGAATTTGCATATATAAACCTCCTTATGCCCAGTTAAAGTTTCTTTCTTTTTCTTTTTTTTTTTTTTTGGTACGTGCCCCTAGCGGGAACTGAACCCAGGATTCTCTGGTCCACAGACCCAAGCTCCAACTGCTGAGCCAAACAGGCCAGGGCTAAAGTTTCTTAATACCATTTTTCCAAGCCTCTCAGATACAAAAAGAAAAACCATTATGGTCTAGGGCTAATAGAAATCACTGAATATTTTGGAATTCTAATCTCTTTAATCTACACTCAAATTGTTAATGACAAAATCTGTAGCAATACCTTTTATGGTCAGCATTTCACCAACGGACATAAACTACTTGGAATTATCCAGACTAAGGCAGACTCAGACACTGAACACGAACCAGGGTGCGAGTCGTAGGACCAGTTTCACTCATGATAAAGCTTCCCCTCAACACAAGTTTTAGTAGCCAACAAAGGAGACTAAGTGATGGAGGAAGATTTGAATGGAGGAAAAGGATTTGGAGTCCTGGATTATGACTGATTCTCTGCCATTTGCTAGATGATATTGTCCCCTTGTCTGTAAAAACTGTAATAATTTTCTTTCTAGTCTCACTTGGATGTTATGTTATAAGAACAGTTTGTATAAATTAGTAATTATAATAACTACTGCCAGCAGGACTGTCATTTGAACAACCTGCCCAAAGATTAAATTCTTCTTTGTCTTGCTGTGGTAGACGACTCAGTCATTTTTGTGGTTGCAGTGTACTTCCAGAATGCCTTGTTCAACTGTTAATTTGTGTTGAAAATTTATTACCTTAGGAGAGATTAATTTATCTAGTGAGCTAGTTTCAAAGGGACAGGAGCCTACTAAGAATAAAAAGGGGGCGGGGAGCTAATCTTATGAATTTGACACTGTTCTGAGACTACCACACTTGAAGGATCCAAAAGCAAACCTGATAAGCTGCCACTTCCTGCCTGATCGCCAGAGGACACTGGGATAGGGAAAAGGCACGGAAAGGAAAAGAGTGCAGGAACCAAGCTGGCTTGGGTTTCCACCTTGATTCTTAAAGGTTAATTTGGTTGAACTTTGTCATCTGTAAATATATAGTAAACTCAGATACCAAACCCACCACACAAGGCTGATTAGAGAACCAACTGTCACAGTAGGTCTCTGTCAGTCCTTTCCTGATGGCTTTGTGGAGACTGACTGGCAGGTTTGACAAAGCAGAAGTAAGGGACTGGTTAGGAGGCTGTTGCATTAATTCAGGAGCCATAGGTGGTGGCTGGACCTAGAGTCTAGGGGAGATGGCAAGAAGTAGACAGATTTCTCTAGACTGGACAGGAATTACTATTAAAGAATGAATGTGAAGGCCAAGGAAGAGGAAGAAATCAAGAATGCTCATTCCCAGGTTTCTGGTTTGACCAGCTGCATGGAAGGTAGTGCCATTTACTGAACTGGGGACAACTTGGGGAGGAACGGGTGTAGAGGCTGGGTGGTAATCAGATTTTTGTTTGTTTTGATTTTTTGTTGTTGACACTCTTATGGATGCCCCTCTCCAAGGTTTCAGTTTTGAACACGGTAACTTTGAGATGGCCATGAAATTACCAAGTGGAAATATGTAGGAAGCACTTGAGCCTATGAATCTGTAGTTCCGGGGGGGCTGGGCTAGAGATGTCTACCTGGGAGATTTCAGCATTTTTGAAACAATGGGAATGGATAAAGTCACTTAGGGAGAGTGCGGAGAAAGAAGGGACCTTGCATAGAACTTTTAAAAACCTAATCTAACAGTCAGGTAGGGAAAAAGGAGACAAAAGAGATTAAGGACCAGCTATAGTGGTAGGATTATCACAAGAGTGTGGAAGCCCCCTATTTATTGGTTTTAATGATGAGGGAAAGTGTCAAATGCTGCTGAGAGAAGGGACATTTCGTCTTTAAAGCAGGAGGAAAAGAGAAAAGTGGCACAAAAACGGGTGGTTGTATAGATGTGAGGATGAGGAAACTTTTTCTCTGATGGTTTCTGGTTTCTTAAAGAAATAAAAGAGTTATGGAGGAGTGGGTTGGGAGCAGGTAGAAGAGCAAGGGAAAGGTAAGCAGCATTGCTAGGGGAGTGTGAGAGGCAGGTGCCACACAGATCAAGTAGTCATTAGAGATCGTTTAGTTTTTAATTTAGTATTAATATTCACAAAGCATTCTTTTTCTTTTCTTTTTAAGTTGCATGTTAATTATGGAAGTAATACAGGAACACATTCTCCTTTCAAAGTTTCAAATGTTACAAATAACGCTTAGGCCCTTTATCTCCCAAAAGAAAGTCTGGGTCCCTCGTCCCTCCCCAGTGGTAGCCACTGTTTTGAAACTGATATATATTTTTCTGGGCTTTTTCCTGTCTCCTATGTACATAATATTTTAATATATGGTAGCATTTTATATATAGATATTGTTCTGAAACTTGCTTTTTACTCTTATTATTTGTTGGAGGATTTACCCATGTTAGTACACCCTTACAAATCCCTTCAGTACAAAAAAAAAAAAAAAATTAGTAAAAATTCCAGAATTGCAGATGATACTAGATAGACTATTACCACAAATAGTTATGAGTGCTGGTTACTAATGAAACACATGTGCTGGAAGGAGTTATCATCTAAATGGGTCAAGCCAATTTAGAGAAGATTATCCTCTCATCTAGTGGCTGTATGTGCAACATTCCACAAAAAGCTCAACATTTAAAGGGAAAGGGTGCTGTTTTAGGCTCTTGGAAAATAATGTCCTTGGTCTAGGTTATTTGATCTACTAAAATATTTTCTTCTGTGTAAAAACAAAGATGAAGTTAGAGTGAGAATTTGCTTATTTATCATTCATCTGTTTTAGGTAAAAAACACTGAGGGATCAATTTATCTGAAAAGTTCAGACTAGTGTTAAGAGTATTAAACAGAAATGGGACTTATACTGTTCAAAGTCATTGCATAAGTATAAATTATCAGACCAGCCACATCTCTTCAGAAGCTACTTATCCTTCAATATCTTTTTCAGTTTTTCTAGGACCAAATAACTTTTGCTCATTCCCAGGTTTTGGAATGGAAAATGATTGTTATAAGGCCTGCTTTTAAGGGATGTTCTAAAAGAATGAATGGAGAGTATATGGATGCTTTTGTCTAAAAATGGTTCTTTGGAATATCCTCCCTGTTTTAGTTAGTTTTTTGTTTTGTTTTGTTGTTGTTTGTTTGTTTAATAAGCCCTTTCCTTAATAGAGCCTCCTTTCTGGGCTTTCTTCCCAAATTGGTTTATACATTCTACTCTCTTATCCTGCAGCTGTATGCACTTTGCTCTCCACCATGCCCCTGCCACTTTTGTTAATAACATTTTCTTTGTCTGCAGTACCTTCTCCCTCTTTCTCCCATGCTCTCTCTCTGATCGTCCAGATTCTTCCCTCTTTGACTCACCTTAAATATCACCCCAGGAAACCTTCGTTATCTTACAATTTCAAACCAAACAAAAGCTCCCTTCATTTGAATACCATTATCACTTGGAATTTTTATTTCTCATGACCACTTTCTACTTCATATTAGTTCTCCTCTCACTGTTTATGTAAACATTGGTGTTGCCAACTTATTCATCCTCAGGCTTTTGTCTTATTGCCCACACTCTCCCCAAGCACCCTCATCCACATGCACCTGCCACTTCTGTGTGCACTGGTGGCTCTCATATCTTCATCTCCAGCCCAACCTCCTTACCAGGTCTACAGATATATTTACCCACCTGTTTGCTGGACATTCAGCTGCCCTTCTATCTCTTAAACTCAGTGTGTCTAAGAGAGAGATTTGTTACCTTCTCCTAAAGCACTCTCCTCCCCGCATTCCCTATATTGATGAATGGCAGCAGCAGCATCTACCCAGGCAGGCAGCACTCCAAACACAAATCTTCAACATGTTGCCCACAATACAGGCCATTATTGGGTTGATGATTCAGCCTCCTAAATCTACCAAGGCGGCTGCCTTGGTGCTCCTTCCTTAATTCTGCCCTTAATATCTCTAACTTGGACCTTTGGAATAGCTCATTAACTGCTGCTAACTTTTCGTCTTTTGTTTCACTCTCTTTGCTACCAAAATAATCCTTCTGAGCATTACTGATCATGATGCACCTCTGTTCACGTCCTTCAAAGCTCCTGTTGCCTGGTTGAATCTCTTGACTTACCTTTTCACCTTGTTTCCCATCCTCCACTGTGCTCCATATCCTGTTCACCAGCCCTCAGATATTTACCTCGCTCTGAGCACACCATGCCTGTTTCTTCCTTTTGTGGCTAAAAATCCCCTCCTGCCCTTGGGAGGAGTGTGATGTTTCTTTGGAGCCTAACACTTGGAATTTGGGTTGAATCCCAGCTCTACTACTTACCAGCTATGTGACTGTATGCAGGTAACTTAAATCCTCCGAGCCTCAGCTTCTTTATCAAGAACAGAGTATCTGCCAGTTGCATCATCATATGATGAATGTTCTTGCACTGTGCCTTCTGAGGCTCAGTGCCTTCCAAAGAAATCCATTCTTTGTTTTTCACTGCTTTCCCAGTAGACATATTTTGTCCTCATCTAACATTATGTCTTCATCTGGCTCACCATTGTAAATTCTGCCTCTTCTTTTTCCCCTGGTCAGAATTAGGCATTCCTTCTCTGAGCTCTCATGGTAACTGATACTGTGATATACAGTCACTCTTTGTCTCCCTACTCAGCTGGGAGCAGCTCGTGGACAGGAGTCAGGAGTTCTGTCTTAGAGTCTGCTGCCCATTATTTATGTACATGTCCTCCCCTAAACTAGTGGGAAGCTTCTCAAAAGTGGAGTTCTTATCTGATTTGTATCTTTAAGCAGCTAGCTGAATGCTGGGTGTCCCTAAGTATTTAATGAATGAGGAAGTTAACAAAGTACTAATTTCCACAGCTAAGATAATGATAAGGAGCACATAGAGAAGCAGTAGAAGATATCAGAAAATTCTCTTCATTGAGTTGTATGACAATAAAGCAGTTCTCTGAGTCATAGATTTGTTGGTAATAAATTTCTGCACACCAGTTCTACTGAAGATAATGTGTTTTCCTTTATTTGTTTTCTCTAAGTTAGCCCACATAGTACAATACTGGCCTCCTGTACACTGGTTTTAGCCCATTCTTAAAAACACCATATCTATAACTTTTATATACAAGTGATTGTTCTGCATTTTCCCATTGGGAGAAGCTACTCAGATTTATTTCCTAGTGTCTTATCAGATTAGGTCTATAATTTTCTAAGGCAAATATACTTTTTTCATTTTGAGTATATTTCAAGCAGTAGGCTAAATTTAAGACCATGGTCAGGCCTTGCAGACACTGTCGTACTGGGACCACTCGAGCCTAGGCATGGAGAACCCCATCGTGTACTTCGACATCGCCGTCGATGGCGATCCCTTGGGCCACGTTGCCTTCCAGCTGTTTGTGGACAAAGTTCCAAAGACGTCAGAAAACTTCCATGTTCTGAGCACTGGGGAGAAAGGATTTGGTTATAAAGGTTCCTCCTTCCACAGAATTATTCCAGATTTATGTGCCAGGGTGGTGACTTCACACGCCATAATGGCACAGGCGGCAAGTCCATCTATGGGGAGAAATTTGATGATAATTTCATCCTGAAGCACACAGGTCCTGGCATCTTGTCCATGGCAAATGCTGGACCCAACACAAATGGTTCCCAGTTTTTCATCTGCACTGCCAAGACTGAGTGGTTGGATGGCAAGCACGTGGTCTTCAGCCAGGTGAAAGACGGCATGGATGTTGTGACAACCATGGAGAGCTTTGGGTCCAGGAATGGCAAGACCAGCAAAAAGGTCACCATTGCTGACTGTGGACAACTCTCATAAATCTGACTTCTTTTTTTATCTTAACTACTAGACCATTCCTTCTGTAGCTCAGGAGAGCCACCCCTTTCCCCCCATCTGCTTGGGATGTTCTATAATATTCATGTGCTTGCTGCAGTTCATTGAGTTCCATATTTTCTTTACTCCTTCCAAGTCTAGCTGGATTGCAGAGTTAAGTTTATGACTATGAAGTAACTAAACAATTGTCAAAAAAAAACAAACCAGCCCTGGCCGGTTTGGCTCAGCGGTTAGAGCGTCGGCCTGCGGTCCTGAGAGACCCGGGTTCGGTTCCCGCTAAGGGCGCATACCTCGGTTGCAGTTTGTCCCCAGCGCTGGTCGGTTGTGTGGGTGGCAGCCACTCGATGTGTTCCTTTCGCGTCGATGTTTCTCTCTCTCTCTCTGTTCCTCTCTCTCCCTCCCACTCTACCTGAACAAAAAGTGGAAAATGTCCTCGGGTGAGGATAAAAAAAAAACAAAAAACCATATCAGTAGCCTTTTATGCATGGTATCATAAATAACCAACTATTTCTCAACTGAGAAAATATTAAATTTCTATATATATGGAGAAAGTGGGGTTTTACCTCTATAGTTGCTTCAATTAAAAGAACAGTGAGAGGTATATGAAAGGAGTTAGGGGAAAGATCAGTCAGGCTCTTCCAGGCATGACCTATAAATAGAATAAATACACTCTGCAGTTACAATACTCTACTATGTCGGGCCGGTGTGGCTCACTGGTTGAGCATCGACCCATGCACCAAGAGGTTGCTGGTTCGATTCCCGGCCAGGGCACATACCCAGGTTGTGGGCCCGATCCCCAGTGGGGGTCATGCAGGAGGCAGCCAGTCAGTCTTCTCTCTCAGCAATGTTTCTCTCTCTCTCCCCTTCCTCTCTCTCTCTCAAATCAATAAAGAAAAAATATTTTAAAAAATATATTATACTATACTACTCTTGTTCTCTTTTACTCCCAAAGTCCCTGTTACCCAAGAGAGCTATTGCTCTTATTGCCCCTAAGAGCAGCTATTCTGAAAGTACCTCCCACCCCCTCCCTTCCGTACCCTCCTACTTCCTATGAGGTCTTCCCTATACATCCAGGAGGGTTTCTTCCTGGATTCTTGATGAGCCAGTGAGAACTCTGCTCCCTCCATTCTCCTGCCCTCCTTCACTCATTCCCCTGTCTTCTCTCCACCGGCACACCTTGTGGCCCACACTGTAGCAGCCCAGCTCCGGGAGGGTGTGGGCTGTGGTTGCTTGGTTTGCAAAAAAGAGGGACTTTGTTCTTCTTCTCAGTTATGACTTACAACTTCAAAGGAGGCTCTTTATAAATGATAGTTTGGTTCTATTCTATTATAGTGTATGGGTTAATACATGATCCAGGAATCTAACCATTCCTTATAAAAAGGATTAAATAGCATTTATTTTCTGGCAACTTGGTCTCTCTTATTCTTAATAAAGTGTTGAGGGGAAAATGTACATAGCTCACAAGTAACTTATAATCCATTAGTATGTGTATGTAGCCCACAAGTAAGAAGCAGCATTAGAAATCAGTGTCAAGTTTATCTTACAATTCCAAACACCATATAACAGGTTTTTTTCTCCTATCAGACTAATGTTAACATCATTTCCGGGGCGGATGGACAAACATATGCAAGCTATGAGGACTCTGTGGACATTTCTGATATTTACCACTCTAATGAAGAATATTTCAGGAAACTAGAAGAACTGAAGGCTGCCCACATGGAAACTATGGCAAAGTTAGAGAAAATGTACCAGAATAAATTAAATTTAAAGAAAGTTCAGCCAGTGATCACCAAGGAAGAAGCTTCTAGTGTCTCTTCCATGTAAGTTTGTACGTAATGTTATTTGTGGACTGTAAATTAAAATGTATACTTAAAAGTGCAGAACAAGCCCTGGCTGGTGTGACTTGGTTGGGCATCGTCCCCTGTACTGAAGGGATTACTGGTCAGGGCACATGCCCGGGTTTGGGGCTCAATCCCAGGTAGGCGATGTGCAGGAAGCAGCCGATCAATGTTGCGCTCTCATATAGATGTTTATTGCCCTCTCTCCCTTCCTCTTTCTCAAAAAGTCAATTTTAAGAAATCTTTATAAAAAAGTGCAAAACGAAACTATTTCAGAATATTTTCCCTCAAATGTCCCTTTGTACTTCTAATTATATACAGAGGTGGAACTTTATTCAAAATGTTTAATGGCTCATCAACCTACTAGATGGCTTCTTGCTTTTAGGGTCTTTTGGTGGCCAGTTTATCTTTTCTTTCTGACCTATTATTCATACAATTGTAGACATGTATCAGAATATTTAGTCTGGGCCATTTTTATTTTTTTTAATTTAAAAAAATTTTATTATTTTTTTTTAATTTTATTTTTGTTACAGATGTTTCTCCTTTTTTACCCCATTGACACCCTCCTCCCCATCCCCCCTGCCCCGTCCCTGGCATTGTTGTCCATGTCCATTGGTTATGCATACATGCATATAAGTTCTGTGGCTTATCTCTTCCCTCCCCCCTCTATCCCCTCTTCTGAGGGTTGTCAGTCTGTACCCTACTTCCATGTTTCTGAGTCTACCCTATTAATCTGGGCCATTTTTAAATGATGAATATTAAAATTTTAAAAGCCCTTTATAACATGTGGATTAACATGAGCTCATTAAAGATATACTACAAAGAGTTTAGGACTAAGACATAAATCTGATTAAAGTTTTCAAAATAATCTTTGATTTCAAGACCTATTTCTGTGATAAACTCACTTGTTTTGAAACTTGAGGCAAGTCCCTTAACTCATCCAGTTGGTCAGCACTGATTGGGCATCTCCTGGGGTGCCAGACCTTGCCTGGACACTAGGGAGTCAAAATCAAGATGCCCTATACATAACATAAAATTTACCATTTTTAAATGTAAAAAAAAAAATCAAGATGCCCTTGCCCTGGCCAGTGTTGCTCAGTGGTTAGGGTGCCGGTAAGTTTGATTACCAGTCAAGAGCACATACCTGCATTGCAGGTTCGATCCCTGGCCCCAGTTGGGGCGTGTTCAGAAGACAACCGATTGATGTCTCTCTCTCACATTGATGTTTCTATCCAACCCCTTCTCTTTCTCTCCCTCCCTCCCTCGAGATAGATAGATAGATTGATAAATCGATCAATTGATTGATCGATCGATCGAGATGCCCTCAAGAATCTCAAAGACTAGCTGAGAACCAAAACTCGCAATATAACAGTGTTATGGAGACAGAGGAAAAAGCAGTTGATCATATCTGGTTGTCAGTGGAGGGACACAGGCAGGAATTTTCTACTGAAGTGTCATATCTGAGTTCAGCCTTAAGGCGGGGTGGCCGTGTAGCTGTAGCAGATGCAGAAAGCAAGGAGTGGCCTTCTAGGCAGCCAAAACCACAAACCACGTGTGCAAAGGCAGGTGAGGAACTTCATGTGATTGGATGTGACTTAGAATGGTGATGGGGATAAGGAGAGGCAAGCAATGAAACTGGAAAGATAGGCAGGGGCTAATATTAAAGGGCTTTGTAATCTATACTTGATTTCATAACAATGACAAATCATAGAAAAGTTTCAAGAAGGAGAGTGACATGATCAGATGTATATTTTTAAGATGGTGACTATGGAAAACGTGGAGAATTCAATTCAGAGGTTAGACACAGGAGCTTAGATCATTCATATTCCTCATAAAATGAGGGAGTCAGATTAGATAATTTATAGGCATTTTCCAGCTCTATTCTAAATAAAAGTGATAATTTTTACCAGCCATATCCAGCACCTATCCTCTACCTGATTACTCCTTGATCTAAGAAAATATATAATTGTTAATTTTTATATTTGATCACATACAACTGAAAGTATAACCTAATTATTCTTCTCACTTAGGTCTGTATCAGAAAAGAACTCCTATCACACTATTTCGTTAGTCACATCGGTTTCAGAACCTGACTTAGTTTATTCTTCCCCCTTGATTGTGTCTTCCTCTGAAGATGAGTTGCCCAACTTAGAAAGAGAGTTGCCCAAGAAAAACAGGATGATGACCTATGCTAAGGAGCTCATCAACAACATGTGGACCAACTTTTCTGTTAAAGATTACATTCAGCATGAAGATGTTACCTTCCTATCAGTTGAAAAAACAAAGAAGAAACCAAAACAATGGGTGTCAAAGATAACAGTACCTGAGCCTTTTCAAATGACAATTAGAGAACAGAAGAAAAAAGAAAAGAACATGAAATATAAATCAGATATTGAAATGGTCCACAAACTGCGCAAAAAACAAGAAGAAGATTCAGAGTGTAAGAAAAAATTCCGAGCCAACCCAGTTCCCGCGTTTGTCTTTCTCCCCCGTTATCATGATATAGTCAAGAAAAATGAAGAACGGAGGAGAACTGTGAAGGAGAAAAACAAAGAAGCTCTTTTGGCCTCACAAAAGCCATTTAAGTTTATTGCAAGGGAGGAACAAAAGCGAGCAATACAGGATAAGCAGCTAAGAGACTTTTTTAAATCTAAAAAGAAAACAAATCGATTTAAAGCCAGACCTATACCTCGATCTACTTATGGTTCAGCTACCAATGACAAGTTAAAAGAAGAACTCTACAGAAACAGTAAGACACAGCTGAGAGCCCAAGAACTTTTATCAAATGCATCTCCTGCACCTTATCGACCAGCTCACAGAAGTTTTGCTGCGAGGAAACCCAAGGGTCCTGTACAGGCTGAAAAGTTGAAGGATAAAAGCAACTCTAGGAGCCAGACTGCTGATTTTGAAGAACTTCCTGAGAAATATCAGAAACACCTCTCAGAACAGAAATGTCCAAAACTCCTAACAGTCTACAAACCATCTGATCTTCATGCAGCCTCACATGCGTCCACTAAAAAAGAGAAAAATTTGGCAAATAATGAATCAGATGAAGAAAATTTAAAAGAAACGCATTGGCCTCATCAGTCTCTAAGGCGCAAGTCACCAGTAAGAAGTCCAAATGCAAAGCATGTGCCTTGTAACTACAACCCTCCAATACCCACAGTATCTTCCAGAGGAAGAGAACAAGCCACCAGGTAAATAACTAGGATACAGCAGTGACTGACTTACTGTTGCTAAAATAGTATATGCCGCACGACTTTGTGTTGGTGAATTTGAAAATATGAAGAAATTATTATACCTGGTAATATATTTTACTCTATAATATAGAATATTTTGCAAGATGGTGTGCTAAGAAATGTATTTTCCATTTTATGAATCCTTGGGAATAGAAAAGGTTATAGTCAGCCTATTGATTTCCAGTTTCACAAGTCAGATCCTTCTCAAAAGTTTGCCTTTTTTCAACCTATGAATTATTCTGTGTTAAATCTTTGCTAAGCAACATTCTCATTGGCTTAAAGTGAATTAAGCCTTAGTTTGTTGCCCTCAGGAGATCATTTGAGGAAAAGAAAATGTTGGAAGAAGAGAGAAATCGGATCCTAACTAAGCAGAAGCAAAGAATGAAAGAATTGCAGAAACTCCTGATAACCCGGACTAAGGCTTATGACTCACATCAAAGTTTAGTTCAAGTGTCTAAATCCAGAATAAAATCTCTCAGGTATCATGAAAGAATCCTGAACCTCCAGACCATTGGTTTTCAAACTTTACAAAAAAAAAAATTAATAGATAACTAATATATGAACAGATTTTAAGAAGAGTATTAGAGCCCAGGCAGTGTGGCTCAGTGGTTGAGCGTCGAGGTTGCTGGTTCAATTTCTGGTCAGGGCACATGCCCAGGATGTGGGCCAAATCCCCAGTGTGGGGCATATAGGAGACGGCCAATCAATGTTCTCTCTCATCAATGTTTCTATCTCTCTTTCCCTCTCCTTTCGAAAAAAAAAAAAAAGAGTATTAGTATTTTAGTTTCTGGATTCAAGTTATTATCAGTTACTTATACTCAACACACACACATACACACACACAAACTCACACACTCACATTCACTCACTCACCTCATGGTGAGAACCAACATGTATACTCACCTGATGGTGAGGACCATGAAGCCATGTTGATGAACATGTTGTGGCCACAGCTAATATAATCTTATATCGACATTTAATCTTTTTCTTTATATTACTTTTATTGCACAGTACAATATTGAGAAAAATTTTGAGTCGCATAGATAAAGCTTTTTTATTTTTTTAAATCCTTACCTGAAGAAATTTTTGCATTCATCTTCAGATAGAGCTGGAGGGAGAGAAGCAGGAAAAGAGAGAAACATTGATGTGAGAGAGACACATAGACTGGCTGCCACCCACACAACCCCAACCGGGGCCGCAGACAAACTGCAACTGAGGTATGTACCCTAAGCGGGAATCAGACCCAGGTCTCTCTGGTCCGTGGGCCGACGCTCTAACTGCTGAACCAGACTGACCAGGGCTAGATAAAGCTGTTTTTGTTTTTGTTTACTTTTTATTTTATTTTTAGAGAGAGGGAGAGGGAGAGAGAGATAGAAACATCCATGAGAGAGAACATCGATTGGCCGCCACCTGCACACCCCCCCACTGGGGTTTGGCCCACAATCTGGGCATGTGCCCTGACCGGGAATTGAACCGGTGACCTTTTGGTGCATGGGTCAACATTCAACCACTGAGCCATACTGGTTGGCCTAGATAAAGCTTTTTTAACAGCTTGCCATGTAATCTCAGAATATTCTTCAATAAACAGATATGTAAAAGAGCTTTGTTCTAAGGTTTGCATGAAATCTGATAACACAAATTAACACATTGATGTTAGTTAACATCAATTATGTGAGGTGTCAATTAACACGTATTAATGTTTAGTGGTATGTGTTGCATTTTGTCACAGTTTTAATATAAATAAATAAAAATATTCACAGAACACTGGAATTCTGCAAAGTTTGAAAACCAGTGTTCCAGAGGAACATTTTTATGTTGTAAATAAACATAAAAATGTTCATGTTTAAGTAGAAAAATAATTCCCCCAAAGCTGGGTAAGTAATATGATTTATTAATTTTTAATCTGATCTATAAATACTCCCCAAAATCTATATTTTCTTTTCATTATAAGTATTTATTTTAATATATAATTATATTCCTTTATAATGTATGTTATATATATATATTCCTTATAAAGTCTATCAATGTAATTCATTCATAGAAAGAGCTTAATATGATGAACTTGATCAAGAAGTTCCTTAGAAATATGTTATTCATCCTTAGAAAGTAAACTGGATTTTTTATAATACCAATTTTATAGTATTATTATTTTCTCTAATCCATGAAATCTTATTATCTTGGTAGAGTTAGTGTGTTTTACACAGAGAAAATAGCACAGTTTGATTCATTATAGGATCTCGACCAAATAATAAGTATACTTTATGTGAATTTATGTATTTTGCTTCCTATTCCTCTATATTTTATAGTCCCATAATCCCCATTTCTCTCCTGACCTATTCCCATTTAATTAACTTTGACACCAAACTATAGCAGATCTCATTTAAGGGACTAAAGAAGAGCAAGGTCTTGTTTTTGGAAGAAATTCCTTAAAGAGAAGATACCTATTTTGGACCAATTTATTTTGGTTTTATACACTTATATATGAGATAAGAGGGCATTCATCTTTTCTGACCACTTTGAAGCCCCTTAATACATTAAGTCTTGAAGGTCTTAAAACCTTCAAAGTACAAAGACTTCTCCCAGGATATAAAATATGTGCTCTCAGAATCTGGAATTTTTATTCTGCACTCCATAATAATTTACCAGTCTAGAAAAGGAATTGTGGTAAATTGTAAATTGTGCTCATAATTTAATTTCTGATTTGTCATCTAAGCTAACTGTTATATATGCAAGTTCTTATTTCTTTTTAAAATTCCACTCCTTTTATTTGATTTTAGAAAGAGTGAAAAGGAAAGGATGAGAGAATACCGACAAGAACTAGAAGAAAGAGAAGAAAAATTAAAATACAGGCCACTACTATTTGAAAGAGTTGCTCAGGTTGTGTTTGTTGGAATTTAAGAGCTATTGTCAGTTGTTGTTTTTTAAACATCTTTGGCTCTTAATTTATAGTCCGTTTTTCTTATGTGCTGTATAATGTATTAGACAGTTTCTGTGACAGCTTCATCAAATCAGTCAAGTAAGTAATTTTGCCAAAATCAGAGCATTGAATCTTGTTGATGAGGCACGTAGCTTGATAAAGAACATGCTGCTAATCTAATCATTTTCAAAATAATAGTTTCACAACCTGTTTTTAATGGTTGATCTTTTTTCAGTACCAGCTTGACTAAATATTAAGTTAAGGCTTCATGATATGATTTAAAGATCTTTGAAGAATTAAAAAATGAAACAAAATGGCTAATTGAATCAGATTTATTTCTGCTAGTGGTTTTGTTTTTGTTTTTGTTTTTAATTGAGATATAACTAACATACAGCACTGGGTAAGTTTAAGGTATATGGCATAATGACTTGACACACATAAATTGCAAAAGATTACCACAGTAAGTTTAATTAATATCCATCACCTCATATACTTACCCCCCCCCCCAATTTTTTTCTTGTAAGAACTTTTAGGATTTACTCTCTCAGCAGCTTTTCAAATACTCCATATATAGTTATCATGTTGTATATTACATCCCTAGTACTTATTTATCTTATTACTGGAAATTTGTACCTTTTTTTTTTTTAATCCTCACCAGAGGACTTTTTTGCATTTATCTTCAGATAGAGCAGGAGGGAGAGAGGGAGGAAGAGAGAAAAACATCGATGTGAGAGAGACACATCGAGTGGTCACCATCCACACGACCCCAGCCAGGGCCGGGGACAAACTGCAACTGAGGCACATGCCTTTAGCAGGAACCGAACCCTGGACTCTTTGGTCTTCGGGCTGATGCTCTAACCACTGAGAAAACTGGCCAGGGCGAAATTTGTACCTTTTGACCACCTTCATCCAGTTCCTGCTGGTAACCACAAATCTGATCTCTTTTTTTTATGAGTTTTTTAAAAATTTTAGATTCCACATATAAGTGAGATCATACAGTATTTGTCTTTCTGTCTGACTTATTTCACTTAGTATAATGTCTTCAAAGTCCACCCATTTTGTTGCAAATGGCAGGATTTCCCTCTTTTTACGGATGACTAGTATTCCACTGTGTATATATACCATATTTTCTTTATCCATTCATCTTTCAATGGCCTCTTAGTTGTTTCCTTTTTTGGCTATTGTAAATAATGCTGCAATGAATGTGGGGTATGTCTCTTTCAGATGGCGATTTTGTTTTCTTTAGATATATATCCAGAAGTCAGATTGCTGGATCATATTTAATTTTTTGAGGAACCTCTATACTATTTACCATAGTGATTGTACTTACTTACATTCCTACTGACAGTGCACAAGGGTTCCCTTTTCTCCACATCCTCATCAGCATTTATCTCTTGTCTTTTTCATAGCCATTTTAACCAGTGTGAGATATCTCATTGTGAAATATCACCTAATGACTTGCATTTACCTATAATTACTCATGTTGAAAACCTTTTCATGTAACTGTTGGCCATTTGAATATCTTCTTTGGAAAAATGCCTATTCAGCCCTTTGAAACTTTTAAATTAGATTATTTGGGTTTTTTTTTTTTTTTTTGCTATTGACTTGTATGAGTACTTTATATATTTTGGATATTAATCCCTTATCAGGTATATGATTTGCAAATATTTTTTCCTATTCAGTAGGTTGCCTTCTCATTTTGTTGATCAGGTTTTTTTTAAATTTTTATTGTTGAATGTAGAATGTATTACAGATGTTCCTCATTTTTCCCCCATTGACCCCCTCCTCCCCACTTCCGCCCCCCTCCCGCCTTTTCCCACACTATTGTCTGTGTTCATTGGTTATGCATATAAGTTCTTTGGTTTATTTCTTCCCACCCCACCCCCCCAACCCCTTTCCCTTTGAAGTTTGTCAGTCCAGCAATGAATTTGTACTTCTTAATCCCTTCACCTTTTTCACCCATTCCCCCAACCCCCTCCCATCTGGCAACCAACAAAATGTTCTCTGTATCTATGAGAATGTTTCTGTTCTACCTGTTCATTTTTTTTTTATAGATTCCATTGTTGATAGATATGTATTCATTGCCATTTTGTTTGTTCATATATTTTATCTTTTTCTTCAAAAAGACCCTTCACCATTTCATATAATAACGGTTTGGTGGTGATGAACTCCTTTAACTTTTTCTTGTCTGGGAAACTCTTTATATGTCCATCAATTCTAAATGACAGCTTTGCAGGATAGAGTAATCTTGGTTGTAGGTTCTTGCTTTTCATCACTCTGAATATTTCTTGCCACTCCCTTCTGGCCTGCAAAGTTTCTTTTGAGAAATCAGCTGACAGCCTTATGGGAACTCCCTTGTAGGTAACTAGCTGCCTTTCTCTTGCTGCTTTTAAGATTCTCTCTTTGTCTTGAACCTTTTGCATTTTGATGATAATGTGTCTTGGTGTGGGCCTCTTGGGGTTCATTGTGTTTGGGACTCTCTGTGCTTCCTGGACTTGTATGCCTGTTTCCTTCACCAAGTTAGGAAAGTTTTATGCCATTATTGTTTCAAACAGGTTTTCAATTTCTTGTTCTCCCTCTTCTCCTTCTGGCACTCCCAAGATGCGAATGTTGGCACGCTTGAAGTTGTCCCAGAGGCTCCTTACACTATCCTCATTTTTTTGGATTTTTTTTTCTTTTTGCTGTTCTGACTAGGCGTTTTTTGCTTCTTTATATTCCAAATCGATGGTTCGCTTCTTGGATTTACGTACTCTACTATTGAATCTGTGTAAATTACTTTTTATTTCAGTTAATGCCTCCTTCATTTCTGACTGTGCATCCATTATTTTTGACTGGTCCTTTTTGATGCTCTTGAGGCCCTCACTAAGTTCACTGAGGTTCTCACTAAGTTCATTGAGCATCCTTAAAAGCAGTATTTTGAACTCAGCATCTGTTAAGTTGCTTATCTCCATTTCGCTTAGTTCTTTTCTTGGGGTTTTGTTCTGTTCTTTCATTTGGGACCTGTTTCTTTGTCTCCTCATTTTGGCTGCCTCCCTGTGTGTTTCTGTGTATTACTTAACGAGCAGTATGGGGCTAGCTGAGACCAGATGCTGCTTGTTCGAATGAATTTACGAAAAACCTGAAGCAGGATCCAAGACAGGCCAATCCTATGGTTAAGCAAGTGGCAACAGCTTGGGTGGGCCTGAAAGTTGGGTGGGGCGGGGCCTCAGGGAGTCAGCAGGGCGGGGCTACCAGTGTGAGCCAGGTTGCTGGAGTCCCAGATATGGCGGCTGTCTGGCGCTCCAGGGAAGGGCTCACCAAAGGAACAAAGGCCTCTGACAGCACGTTTGTCCCAGAGAAAGGCCCCTCGCTCCAGTGCCAAACAGCTCAGTTCTTCCCTGTATGTCTCTGGTGCCCCTTGAGCTGCCTCCCCTCCAAGCTTAGAGGAGTGAGTCCGATAAGTCCGTGCGCGGGCCCTTTAAGGAGCTGCCTGGGGCTCCAGCCGCCTCAGCTTCCCTGAGCCTCAGTTCCTGCTGGTTTTTCCAGCCAGAAGTTATGGGGACTTCTCTTCCTGGCACTGGAACCCTGAGCGGGGCACCTGGTGTGAGACAGGGACCCCTCAGTCCTCAGGAAGGACCTTCCCAGCCAAGGTGTCCTCCTGATTTTTATCCGCCACACGTGGGTGTGGGACCAGCCTGTCTGCCTCCGCCCCTCCTACCAGTCTGGATGTAGCTGCTGCTTTAATTCCGTAGTTGTAGGACTTCCATTCAGCTTGATTTCAGGTGGTTTTGAATGATGATCGTTCTGTAGTTTAGTTGTAACTTTGATCTGGTTGTGGGAGGACGCAATACCACGTTTACCTACACCGCCATCTTGACCGGAAGACTGATCAGTTTTTTTTAAGTGAGTCTATAATTTTCAGTCTTAGCTACAATTACTAAAAGGATTTCTGTCCTTTTTATTGGAAAAACTAAATTTATACTCAGTTTTCCTTAACTGAGAACTTTGTCAATTTCAGATAATCTTCTTAGTACCCATGAGGGAGAGGTTCCTATTGGTGACATAGCTTAACAATAGACAGAATCGCTGGAAGTTACAAGTGCTGTATTGTGAATTTCAGGCTGTTATATTTGGAGCTTTCTGCCAGTATGTGCCTGGGACAGAGGTCATTACAGGATTGTCCTTGTCAATGACTCATTGAGGACTAGGGACATGTATTATGGGTTAATCTACATATCATAATCTCCCAAAGTATGAGAACCCTTTACTTACAGATTTGGATATAATTTTATATAGTGCTTGTCATATATATGTGTGTGTGTATATATGTGTGTGTTTTTATTAATTTTAGAGAGAGGAAGGGAGAGGGAAAGAAGTAGAAACATCGAGGAGGGAGAAACAATGATCAGCTATCTTTTGATGCCCCCAGCTAGGGATCGAGCCCAAAATCTGGGCTTGTGCTCTGACCAGGAATAAAATCGGTGATCTCTTGGTGCATGAGATGACGCTCAACCACAGAGCCACACCAGTCAGGCTAGTGCTTGTTATTTTAAAGGATGGGTTTCTTTTAACATCTCAATTTTAACTTTAGGGGAGGGGAAATCAGAAGCTGTTTTCCATTACTCAGTATAAAGTGATTTACTTGGGCTCAAAGATGTTATCTGCAGCTCCCAACTGCAGGTTTTTATATCCTCTTGTCTGGTGGATATCAACCCAGATTTCCCACTGGCATCTTACATTCATGTTGCCTCAAACTAGATTCTCCTCTTTGATTTCCTGTTTTGGTTGGGCCACTATTTAGATGACTGGAAACCACTTTTTCTCCCCATTCAGTTGTCCCTGAGAGAACCGACAAATTTTCTTTCTAAATAATTTTTGGACCTTACTTTCTCTACTCCTGATAGTGAAATGCTAGGTAAAACCTCTCTTGTTTCCTATCCGAGTTAATATAATGGTTTGACTGTTTTTCTGTCCTGTTCTTTGCAAAGCCACCCGTTATATCTTTATTTTGCTATTCCCTTTCCCTTGAGAAAATGTTAACCCTGGGTAATAACCCTTGATAACAGTGGCAACCATGCACTCAACAGAACCATTCGTTCTCATTTTCAATGAATGGTATCAAGAGGTCTTGTCATTGACTTTTCCAAAAAATGCTACAAGGTTGATATTCCTATATTGCAGAGGACGAGACTGAAGTTCAAAGAAGGTAAGTAATTCATAAGATTTATAGTTAGTAAATAATGGAACTAGGATTGGAACCCAAATCAGTCTGCTTCCAAACACTTAACACCAAGCTGTCCTGCTTTCCCCAGAAAATAACCCCAGAAGTCTTAATATGGTGTACAGAATCCTCTGTGATCTGACCCGTTGACCTCTTTAGTTCATCTACCACTCTGCTTCTCCGAAGTCGCACCTTATATACTCTTTACTCTCAGGTCATACTAGACTACTAGTTTCTTTATTCATGCTATTTCTGAACACCCTTAGAGCCTCTTCCTGTCTTCTCCTACTCTTTCAAGTCTTAGTATAAAATCACTTCCATTGTTTCCCCTGGTTGGATTGGGTGCCCTTTCCTATGTGTTCTTCTTTTTTTTAAATCTTCACCCAAGGATATTTTTCCATTTATCCTCAGATAGCGTGGGAAGGGGAGAGAGAGACAGAGACAGAAACATCAATGTGTGAGAGACACATCGATTGGTTGCCTCCCACATGACCCAACCAGGGCCGGGGACGAACTGCAACCGAGGTATGTGCCCTTGACCAAAATTGAACCCACAACTCTTTGGTCCACAGGCCGACACTCCACCCTTTGAGCCATACTGACCAGAGCTCCTCTGTGTTCTTTTATTACCCTTTGCATACCTCTCTCTTTGCACCCACCAGGTTGTATGGAAATTATCTTAATGATCTCTCTTCCCTTTCAACTACCTTTATTTTATGTTTTTCTAGACTTTTTTTTAGAGAGAGAGGAAGGGAGAGAGAGATAGAAATATCGATGTGAGAGAGAAACATCAATTGGCTCCTGCATGCCCTCTACTGGGGATCGTGCCTGCAACCCAGGCATGCACCCTGACTGGGAATCAAAGTGGGACCTCTCAGTCCATGGGTCAACGCTCAATCCACTGAGCAACCACACTGGCCCGGCCAGCTAGTTACTTTTTTTTTTTTATCCTCACCCGAGGACATTTTTCCATTTTTTGTTCAGATAGAGTGGGAGGGAGAGAGAGGAAGAGAGAGAGAGAAACATCGACGTGAAAGGGACACATCGAGTGGTTGCCACCCGCACAACCAACCAGGGCTGGGGACAAACTGCAACCGAGGTACATGCCCTTAGTGGGAACTAAACCTGGGCCTCTCTGGACCGCAGGCCAACGCTCTAACCGCTGAGCCAAACAGGCCAGGGCCAGCTAGTTACTTTTAAAGGTGGTGGTCAAATCTTTATATTCCCAGCACCTAGCACCTACGACAACATCTAGCACAGAGGAGATGTTAATAAATATTTGTTGAACCAAAACTGAATTGTTCTGATCAAATTAGCTGGATAATGACCTGTCATTTTCTTTCTGGGATTAGCCCAGGCTGAGAGCACTACCCTGACAAATTAGTGATGATTCTGAGCATTAACAAGCAATTTTGCCATGCTGTGAATTCCCACTGTTTCTAAGTACCAGAGAAAACAAGTGGTGTGTATGAAATTAAACCCATAAAGACATTTTAAATGTTGAAAACACAGGTTAGTTTCATAGCTGATGTTTCTACCACTTTTGGCCCTCAAATATGCTGTTCCCTTTGCCCAAAATACTTTTCCTGTCTACCCCCTACCTCCACAAGGTCACAAAATAAATATTTAGTAATTATTAAATAAATGAATTACTATACACTTATAGTTATAAAAAATAAGTATTTTTTTCCTTCAATCTAGAGTCTGATAGATAAACTTTTATCACTTGCTATTTTGGTTTCCTGAAGAAACAAATCCTTTTTTTTTAAAATAGTGTTTGATAGTAAAATTAATAATGAGAGTTATTTTAACTGTTCCTTTTATCTCAGTCTTTATAATTCTTTTGTATAGTGAAATGCAAGGGGGAAATGTTTCAATTAAGAACAATTACACACTATTCACCTCGATATAAAATATTAAAAGGTAATTATATATACAGAATGACTGGCAGTGACTCACCATTGCTTTGATTTTGTTAACAGAAATTAGTATGTTTTTCTTGCCATCTATTTTGCTGTGATTGTTGGTGTTAATTAACAGCTGTTATGTAATAAATTCACTCACAACTTTTTGCATTACCCATTCATAAGTGTTAATTGTGGTCTTGCTCCTGTTGAGTTATCCTCTAACAGTAGGCCTATGATCCAGTACAGAACAAACCATGTTGTCCTGTTTCTTGGAAATCACACAGTTTGTTAACTGAATAGATGTTAAATTAAGTTTTAAACCAAATTCAGGTAAGGGTTTACTATCACTAACTTTGATTAGTATTTTAATCTTTTTTCTATTTAATTTGCTTAAATCAGAATATACTGTTCTTAGTGCATTCAGAGTTAGGTTGGGGGTTTCGTTGTTCTGCTTTACAGTCTTTGGTGCATAGTTTTCATCTTTGCCATGCCTTTCAGTTCCCCAAAGGCTTGTCTGTTGGTATTCATAGCCTCTGGATGCTTATTTACTTTCTGCTCTAAAAAGTATTGTTATTCACAGTGATTGTATGTTAGCAGCAGTTCTAGTGCCTCAGTTTTCCAGAATGTCAGAAAACGCACTGCTGATAGTTTTAATCCATTGTAATCAGTCTCTGCTATTTTGATTTCCCCCATGGAACATTAGACTCCATGATCCCTCATTAGCTGGGGTTCCAGGATTGGGCAAATATCTGACAACTGCATTGCTAAAGTCAGGCTTTAAGCTACCTTCAAACTCCAGGATGACCCCTACCATTTAGACAAAAGCATGGTGGAGTGGAAAAGACCCAGGAAAGGATCAAGAGACTTGATTTTACCACTTACCATTCTTGTGACCTTAAGCAAACCAATTAACCTCAGTGGGAGTGATGGGAGCATCTTGGTTTTCTTATTTGTTAAATTTGGGGGTGAGACTGGGGACCACTGGAGCTGGGTCATTCCTAGACACTTTGCTTTAGTTGGAGATCCAGATGGCAATTCTTGGCCCTAAACTAGTTCATATCCACTCATAGGAGCTAAAGGTGTACTAAAGCCAAGGCACTATGAACCCCAGTCATCTGGCTCTGTAAAGCCTGAGTTTCAGGAACTGTGACAACTTTTGACTTGCTTCTTCTGTATGAGAGGGTCATCATAACTCCCACAGGCCCCAAAGCCAAGAAGTAATGTTCTGGAGATCTGAACCCAGTTCTAAATTCATGTTCTTTTTGCTGTATCTATTGCTTCATCCACAGAATAGAGATAACACTGATGATTGTGTGATCTGTGATGGAGTAGAGATATGGTTCACAAAAAGCAGAAATTACAGTAGGCACATAAAAGAACCTTCTGACAACTGTCACACGAACTTATTTTCTTACTGATTTTTCCAGATATCCTTAAGCAGTCATAAAAGTGTATAAAACAGGTACAGTGTAAAGAATAATTGTAGATCAAAATTCATGTGGTCATTACCCAGGTTAGCAAATAGAGCATTGCCAGCACCCTAGACCCTGTGTGCCTCTCCTGGGTCCAAATCCTTCCCCACTCCCCTAGAGGTAACCACCATTCTCACTTTTGAGATAGGCATTTCCTTGTTGTTCTTTGCAGTTTTACCACTTATGATTTGTCCCTATGAAATATGGTTTTGTTTTGCCTATTTGGGGGCTTTTTGTAAATGAATCATATACATATATATATACCCTTTTGTGTTTTGCTTCTTTTGCTCATTATTATGCTTGTGAGATCCATCATGTGGTGTATAGCTTGAGTTAATTCATTTTCATTGCTTTATTTTACTCTATTGTATGAATAGGCTACAGTTTATTTATCCATCCTACTATTGATAGCTATTTGGTTGTTTCCAGTTTTGAGTTGTTACAAATAGTACTATTCTGAACATTTTTACACTTGTAAGAGTTTCTCTGGGTATATACATAGGAATGGAATTGCTGGTCAGAGGGGATGCATATTTTCAACCAATTTAATTTTCACTGGAGCTTTTAACCCATGCATTTTAAATGGAAAGTTAAAGTCTTTTGTTCTCATCTAAAAGGGTTTGTCTTTCCTATAGAAAAATGCAAGAATGGCAGCAGAAAAGCATTATTCTAACACCCTAAAAGCACTAGGACTATCTGATGAGTTTGTTTCAAAGAAAGGCCAAAATGGAAAAATATTTGAGTCCTTCAGCAACCAAGCGATGAAAAGTTTCACTGAAGATAAAGAAAGGTAACATATATAAGATGTCTGAATGGTGTATCTCTGAAAAAATTCTTACCTGCAAGAAAGCAAAAATTCTATTCTATAATATTTTTAAAAGGTCTTTTGCCTAATGAAATGTGAACTGTTGTAAAACATATTGATATTTTAATATTTTTGATACATTAAAAATAATACACATTGATGAAATATCTTGCTTTTAAGCAGAATAATTTAAGTTTCTGACTGACACAAATAATGAACATAACATGCTTTCAAATGAAGTTTAAAGAGTCAACCAAGTTTTGAAATTAATTAGTTCTCAGAGGAATATTTACTTTCCCAGTTGGCAATTTCATAGAGTTTTCTTGATAAATTGGAGCTCATATACTTGAGGAAGACTAACTTCATGATGACATACATTGCAAAGGGTTTATTTACCTTTAAACCAAATCATTTTTCCTTTGAAAGATTGATAAATTTTTTTCTCCAGCTTTAATGAAGAAGAAAATGTAGAAGAAAGAGAGAATGGGGAAGAAAATTATTTTACTGAAACCAACAGCCAGGATTCTTTCAAAGAAAAAAATGAAGCTGATGAAGAGAGTGCAGAAGAGAAATCTGTTGAAGACTAAAACAGAATCAGCAGGGCCCCCTCTCTGTGCCTGTGCTGTTAGCAACCTTGCTTGTTGTGTTAGGAACATAGATGGGAACCCCTCTGATATGTGCAGGGCTCTTGAGCAAAGTCATCTGTAGCCAAAAAGGCCGAATCCAGCTGATAATCATTTGGTCAGAGTAAGGCTTTGCCTATTCAGTTTTTTAAATTGCTACACCTGGTCTGTTTGTAACTTTGCTCTTACTTGTATTTTTTTTTTTTAATCCTCACCCGAGGACATTTTTGCATTTATCTTCAGAAAGGAGGCAGAGAGGGAAGAGAGAGAGAAACATTGATATGAGAGAGACGCATCAAGTGGTTGCCACCTGCATGACCCCAACCAGGGCTAGGGACGAACTGCAACCGAGGTACATACCCTTAGCGGGAACCGAACCCAGGCCTCTCTGGTCCTCGGGCTGACGCTTTTACCACTGATCCAAACTGGCCAGGGCTTGTATTTTTTTAAAAGCGGTTGAGAATCAGAGCTGTCACAAACTGATTAGTTGTAAAAATATACAATTACATCATTATTTTTGGTAGGAAAAAATGGCTTAGAATTGAGAGCAAAGAGAAGTAGTGGTCTTTGGTGATTTGTTTGAAAAGTTTTTTCTGGAAAGCATGAATCAATAAATGTTTTTAAATTATACTATTTGCCCATTCTTTTTCTCTGCAATACATCTCAAAAAATGAATCCTCAAACTTGTTTTAATAGTTAAGTTTCTTATCTGAACCATTTTTAAAAAGTAATAAGATATAGAAAAGAACAGATGCTTACAAATGTATATTCATTTCTGCCCTGAAAGTTTACTATTATCCACAGTATCATCACTTTTTATTTCTAGTATTATTCCAAATTATTTTTGATATATAAATTATTAGAAGTTTTTATACTCATTTTGTAACCTTGTGTATTGTGACAAATAGAAATAATTACAGCATCTAAGTTATAGTCTTAAATATCAACTGTGTTTTAAATGTGATGAAATTGTGCATAATTACTTGTCCAAGGCAAGTCTCCATAATAATTCAAACTTACCTCTTTAATACTAGACCCAGTGGTGCTCAACTTTTTACATATTATTGCAGACACACTTTGTCTTTCTGTGCATGATGTTCATTTGATTTTATGAATCTATAATTTTTCCTCTTTAAGCAAATTTTTTGTTGTAAGAATTCAAACGATTCATAAAGATGTGATAGGGTGAGACATTTTCTTTTATAAAAACAATTTCCTTTAAAGAGGATGAACTAATAAAGGTATGTATGTATGTATGTGTGTGTGTGTGTGTGTATATATAATAGCAGTGTTTTCCAACTGGAAGTTTATGTTTTAAATGAAGAAACAAGATGATTTTTCCCAATCAATGCCAAATGTTTACTTGTAATTCCTTTCCTATTGTTTGTGTTGAATTTTTTGTCACTATCATTAGATTGTAAACTCCTTGAAACTTGGCACCATTTAAAAATTTATCTTTGTATTCCTTTAATATTTTGCACAAGATTGTGCGTGCATATGGTAGGTACCTAATAAAGGTTTAGATGAATAAGTAGATGAGTATGTTTTTTAATCATACTTATACTTACTTCAAAATGAGTACACATGGGATTAAAAACATTTCCTTTCCAATTTATTGAGAATCTGTGAAACACAATCCACATTTGCTTTTAAGGATTTGCTCTTTATTCTGTCCCTTCTCAGTTATATGGGGAGAGTGTAGGACATGGTTTCAGGAGCAATCTTCAGTTTTCTTTTCTTTAAAAATGGGAATAGTACCTATCTTGGGTGGCTCTAGGAAGGATTAGATGTGTGGGAAAGCTCTTTGCAAACTAAGCTATTCAAATGACAGTGTCAGGGGACAGATATTCCTGAAGAAACTTTATACACTTTTATTTAAATGAGATACAAAGTGATTTACATATTATTTTGTTAGGAAAAAAATGTGTTATCCACTTTTTGAAGACAGTGATCTTGTAAACACAGAGCCAAATACTGGCAGTTTCAAATCATTCTATGCAAAATCAACATTTTTTTTTAGAAAGCCATCAAATTGACAACTGAAAGGTTTCTTTAGTGTGTGACATTACACAATAGGAGATAAAAATTGAGAAGAAAAATAATAAAATCTGCTATATAACTGTCAAAAGTCAAGGAATAATATGCATGCTTATATCCAACTCTGAAAAGATGGTAATGTAAAAAAAATGGTAATGGAATTTGCCTCTGGGACAGAGTCTGGGAGTAAGCAGTGGAAGACTTAGTTTTGTTTTCCCCCCTTTCAACATGTATATTAGAGAAAAATATAAATGAAGCTTGAGCCTTGTTGGAAGCTGCTTTCTAGTCATGGATTTATAGTACCTTGATTGCAAGAAAAGAAAAAAATACATACATATGTGTGTGTGTATGTGTGTATTTTTTTGTTAATCCTCACTTGAGGATATTTTTCTATTGATTTTTAGATAGAATGGAAGAGAGGGAGGGAGGGAGAAAGAGAGAGAGAGAAACATCAATATGAGAGAGACACATCAATTGGTTGACTCCCGCATGAGCCCAACCCGGGCTGAGGATCAAACCTGCAACCCAGCCCTGGCCAGGTTTGGCTCAACGATTAGAGTGTTGGCCCGCAGACCAGAGAGGCCTGGGTTCAGTTCCTGCTAAGGGCACATACCTCTCTTGCAGTTCGTCCCCAGCACTGGTTGGGGTTCTGTGGGTGGCGACCAGTTGGTGTGTCTCTCTCTCATTGATGTTTCTCTCTCTCTCTCTTCCTCCCTCTGTCCCTCCTGCTCTATCTGAAGATAAATGCAAAAATGTCCTCGGGTAAGGATAAAAAAAACAAACAAAAAAACCTCCTGCAACCTAGGTACATGCCCTTGGCCAGAATCAAACCTAAGACCCTGTGGGCTGATGCTCTAACTGCTGAGCAAAACTGGCCAGAGCAATATATTTTTTCTTGATACTAAAAACAACAACAAATTGTATACAGTTTATTTGAATCAGGATCCAAACATTTCATGTGGTTAATAAGTCTCTTAAGTCTTTTTAACACATCTTTTTTCCTTGCAATATTGTTGTTGAAGGGACCAGTCTTTGTCCTGTAGAGTATCCCACTCTGAATTTTGTCATTTAATGTATTTCTTTGTTCTCTGTGTTTCCTATAAATTAGTAGTTAGATCTAGGCTTGATCAGATTCAAATATGATGTTTTTGGCAAGAATACTCCATAAGTCATAGTGTGCACTTCCATTAGGAAGTCCATGATGTCTAATGATCTTTTGTACTGTTATCCACCATTGATGATCATTGCTACAATTCCTATGCCAATGTCTCTCCACTCATTTTAGAACTTGCCAAAGACCACAAGGTCTTATTTGTTACTAAAAGGGGGGAAATGGGGAATGGAGGAATTGAATGAAGGTGGTCAAAATGTACAAACTTCCAGCTATAAGATAAACAAGTACTAGGGATGTAATATACAACATGATGACTATAATTAACACAGCTGTATGGTATATTTGAAAGTTGATAAAAGAGAGTAGATCCTAAAGTTCTTATCACAAGGGAAAAACATTTTTTGATGAGATGATGGGTGTTAACTAAAGTTATTATAATCATTTTACAATATAGGGTTGGGCAAAAGTAGGTTTATAGTTGTGAGTATGTGAAACACAGAGTTTACTCTTGTATTATTATATGATTTTCCATCCAAGCAATTATAAACCTACTTTTGTCCCATTCTATATATGTAAGTCAAGTCAGTATGTGATATACCTTTTTTTCCCTTTATTTTTATTGTTGACATTATTACAGATGTCCCCCATTTTTCCCTCCCTTGCTCCCTTCCACCCAGACTCTGCCCTCTCCCCTCTCTGGCCATAACTACGTTATTGTCTGTGTCCATGGAGTATGCATATATGTTCTTTGGCTAATCTCTTCACCTTCTTTCATCCAGTCCTGCCCCACCTCCCCTCTGACATCTGTCAGTCTGTACCATGTATCTATGATTCTGGTTCTAGTTTGTTCATCAGTTTATTTTATTCATTAGATTCCATATATAAGTGAGATCATACGGTATTGGTCTTTTTCTGACTGGCTTATTTCACAGCATAATAATTTGCAGGCCCATCCATGCTGTCACAAAAGGTAAGAGTTCTTTCCCTTTTACAGCCATGTAATATTCCACTGTGAACTGTAAATGTACCACAGCTTTTTATTTAGTCACCTACTGACTTGAGCTGTTTCCAAATTTCTAGATCTTGGCTATTGTAAATAATGCTGATGTGAACATAGAGGAGCATACATTATTTTTGATTGGTATTTTGGGATTCTTAGGATATATCCCCAGAACTGGGATCACTAGGTCAAAGGCAGTTCCAGCCTGGGCCAGTTAGGCTCAGCAGTTAGAGTTAGGCCCATGGCCTGAATGGTCGAGGGTATGATTCCCAGTCAAGGGCACATACCTGGGTTGCAGGTTTGATCCCCGGCCCCAGCCGGGGTTGTGCAGGAGGCAACTAATCGATGTGTCTCTCACACATTGATGTTTCTCTCTCTTTGTTTCTCTCCCTCTCCCTCCTTTCCACTCTATCTAAAAAGTAATGGGAAAATATCCTCAGGTGAGGATTAACAAAAAAAAACAAAAAAAGGCAGTTCCATTTTTTATTTTTTGAGGAAACTCCATACTGTTTTCCACAGTGGCTGCACCAGTCTACATTCCCTCCCAAGAGTGTGCGAGGGTTCCCTTTTCTCCATATCCTCGCTAGCACTTGTTTTTTGTTGATTTTTTAAAAAAGATTTTTGAATTTTTAGAGAGAGAGGAAGGGAGAAGGGTATAGAGAGAGAGGAAGGGAGAGGGGGAGAGAGAGAGAAACATTGGTGTGAGAGAGAAATATTGATCAGCTGCCTCCTGCATATCCCTCACTGGGGATCAAGCCCACAACCTGTGCATGTGCCCTGATAGGGAATTGAACCAGCAACCTTTCAGTGCATGGGACAACATTCAGTTTGTTGATTTATTGATGGTAGCTATTTTGGCAGGTGTGAGGTGATATCTCATTGTGCTTTTAATTTGCATCTCTCTGATGATTAGTGACGTAGTGTTTCGTCTTTAAAAAAATTTTTTTCCTATATTGATTTTAGAGAAAGAGAAAGGTAGAGGGAGAGAGAGATAGAAACATCGATGAGAGAACATTGATTGGCCACCTCCTGCATGCCTCCCACTGGGGATTTGGCCTACCACCTGAGCATGTGCCCTGA